GCGGGCTCAGGCAATCCACTCACCTCAGCCTCCCAAAGGAGCGGGATTACAGGCTGAGCCTCCGAGCCTGGTTTATGTATGCACATTTAAAAAAAATCATTCAAGAGGTGGTAGGATCCCAGTATGGAATGTGGAATGTGGCAAAACACTGTAATTTTGTTACAATGTTTAAAACAACTTCACGGAAGGGAATGTGGGGAAAAGTTGCCAAGCTAAGTAACTTTGGAAATGACTAGAGTCTGTTAGACAAAGGATGAAAGAATCTGAACATAAACACTATACTCTATTTGATAAAGTCAGTTTATCAACTTTATTGGGGTCTGGCTAAACAACTCTGATAGTACTTTGTACGCGGGTGACAGATGGTGGGAGCTGGGTTTGTCATCGTTGGAGAGGAGGTTACACATAGCAAGGGGAAGAGGTTAGAATGTACCATGTGACCAGGGCTCGGTGGCTCAACCTGTAATCCCTCGCCTTTGGGAGGCTGAGGTGAATGGATTGACTGAGCCCGCGGGTTCGAGACCCGCCTGGGCAACTTGCGAGACCTCATCTCTACAATAAATCAAAAACTAGCCGTGCGTGGTAGCGCGCGCCTGTAGTTCCAGCTACTTGGAAGGCTGAGGCGGAAGGATCGCCGGAGCCCAGCAGGTCGAGGCTGCGGTGGCCGGGAACGGCCACTGCACTCCAGTCTGGGAGACGGAGTGAGACTCCAACTCAAAAAAAAAAAGAAAGAAAGAAAGAAAGAAAGCCACTGCAAAGCTCATTTCAGACCATTTAGCGATAGGCCTCTTTGGGGAACTGAGCTCAGTCTGCTAAGCATCAAACACATTGATCCTCCCCATCCCTACCCTAATCAAATAAGTCATTCAGTAATTCCACTGGGTTAAGGAACCAGTGATATTAAAAACCTTCAGGGCCCACTCTTGCCGAATGACAGGGATCAACACGGGGGAGTGGGGTGCGCGCGCGTGTGTGCTCGCGCGCGCGCTGAGACAACCCTACTGTAAAACTTGGCAGAGCTAAGATTTAGGGGGCACGAGAATTATTGCAAAAAAAGAGGGGGAGCGGGGGAAACTATGTTGGGAGCCGAAAGAAGCCCGGGGCGAGGGGAGGCGGCAGCGAACGCGGTTGGAACAATAGGTAAAACCCGGAGCTGGGGTGGAATGAAAAGGGCTGGGGAAGAGAACTTCGAAAAGAGAAACGAGCAGGTGCGGGACGCGGGCAGAGTCGGGGGAGAGTTCAGGGCTCGTCGCGGGGCTCAAAGAAGGGCGGGGCCCCTCCAGGCTTTTCAGGGCGGTGGGTGCCAAGAGAAGCCGGGTGCCCCGGGCGCTCCGGGGAGGCTGCGAGCGCGCGGCGGGGGTGGGACGCTGGAGGGGAAGACGTGGGCCCGTAGTGGGGCGGGGGGCTCTCAGAGGGGATCCGGAGGCCTTGGGGGGACAGGAGCAAGGAGGGGGGCGGCGGCGGCGCGGCGAGACGCGAGGGGCGCGCCGGTCACTCACCCCGTTGGCCGCGGCCATCTGCACCACGATCTCGGTGGCGGTCCTGCTGAAGTACCTGCCGTCGCTGCCCACCACCATGGTGCAGCCCTGGCGGT